TGTGAATATGCTAAAAAAATTGAAAAGATAGATGAAATTGAAAGTGTCCTACACCTAACAAAACTAACAGAAGGAAAAAAAAAACGGAAAAATCAAAATAACCTTTTATTCATTAAAAGACTTGAATGTGTGAATTAAAAAACTAAACAATATTTTCCTATAAAGGAAACACCCACATGCCTGTAATCCCTGGAACTTGAGAGGCTAGGGCAGGAGGATGGCAAGGTGGTGGCCAGCCTTAGCAACTTAGCAAGACCTTGCCTCAAACTTTTAAAAATGGGGCTGGGGTTGTGGCTCAGTGCTAGAGCACTCACCTAGCACATGTGAGGCCCTGCGTTTGATCCTCAGCACTACATAAAGATAAATAAATAAAATAAAGGTATTGTGTCCATCTACAACTTAAAAAAAATAATAAATATTTTTTTTAAACTGGGGATGTACCTCAGTTGTAAAGCACCCCTGGATTTAATCACTAGTAACAAATACCACCATCACTACTAATAATGATAATATAAAAGAAACTCTAGGGCCAGATAGTTTTTTTTCCTACATCCCTAGCCCTTTTAATTTTTCATTGAGAGACAGGGCCTCATTAAATTGCTTAAACTGTCCTTGAACTTTTTAATATGTACCTCAGCTTTCTTAAGAACTAGGACCACACGTGGGTACCTCCCCACCTAGGTTAAATTTTAATTTTACCAAATACATGTATTAAAAATAGGAAAGGGGCTGAGGTGGTGGCTCAGTGGTAGAGCACCTGCCTAGCATGTGCAAGGCACTGGGTTGATTCTCAGCACTGCATATTAAAAAAATAAATAAGTAAAGGTCTATTGACAGCTAAAAAAAATTTTAAAAAATAAAGGGGAAAAATAAAATCAAACGTCTGTATTTTTCGTCTGAATTTTCTCTCCATTTCAGGGTTAAGTTTACATAGCTCTAAGATCCTGGAAGGAGGCACATGACTCTTTAACCCCCTGTCACTCACTTAGCAGTCATGATTGAGCCTGCTGTGAACTGGGCACAGTGATAACCAGTGGCAAACAGGAGGACAAGGAACCACTAAGCCACATCCCCAGCCCGTTTTTCTGTTAGAGACTGGGTATCATTGAGTTGCTTAGGGCTCGCTAAATGGCTAAGGCTGGCTTTGAACTTGCGATCCTCCAGCCTCCACCTCCTAAACCACTGGGATTACACGTGTGCTCCACTTTTATATTTTGAGACGAGGTCTTAAAAGCTGCCCAAACTGGACTCAAACTTGCGATCCTGCTGCCACAGCCTCCCAAGTCACTGGGATGACCGCCATGTGCCACCGTGCCCTAGCTGACGTGGCTTTGGTTGGGAACCTGTCGTGAAGGCTGCAGTCCACACCATTCCTCATGTTCTGCTCTCAAAGCCCTCTCGCTAATCTGATTTTTGAAGACATCTTCCCCTTGACCACAAAAGTACGGTGGCACTGCTCTCTAATACTGCAAAACCAAGACCCTGACAGATTTTAAACTAATGATAACTCTACAAGGCTGTCGGGATATATTATCTTTTAGGATAGATGGAGGTAACATCCCGTGGTAAAAACAAGAGTAAAAGAGTTCTGAGAACTGTGAAACTGTCATCCTTTTTTCTATATGAGTTAATCCAACAGATGGGTGGTTTTCAATCTTGGGCCCCTTCAGTGGGCTGTGAGCACCCCGGGCTTCCATTCCAGATAAGTAAGGAGTGTCTCCAATTGGGTGTGCTTTCCCCAGCCAGCCAGGCTCTGCAGACCACCACATGTGCACGGTTTCTTTCTGTCACCATCCTCCCCATTTTACTGGTATGAAAAATGGAGTTGAGAGTTGCCCCAGGTCTGACAGTTAGGAAGTGGCAGGACTAAGATATGAACCCAGAGGCTGGAGTAGTAGCTCAGTATGAGACACTGGGTTCGATTCTTGGCACCATGTATAAATAAATAAAGGTCCATTGACAACTAAAAAAAAATTTAAAAAATATATATAGGAACCCAGGTAAGAAATTCAGAAGGAGTTAGAATAAAGGGGACACTGAGAGGCTAAAACATTTCCAAAGGTAAAGTGACTCTAGGGGGAACAACTGCAGTTGTGTCATAGCATGATGGGGACCAGGGTGTCTCCGGCTGTATTTGGGCCAATGGGGGCATCACTTTCTTTCCTCCTTCATCCCATTCCCTCCACCCCCTTATTTTTCCCTCCCTCCTGTCTGTCAATCATCCTTCCTTCCTCTCCCGGATTTTGTTTTGCATAGGTATGTGACAACCCCCCCCCAATACACACACATACTTTCTTTGTAATAGAACATTCCATCTATTCAGCCACCTTCTATGAGCAAACCCTCGCCTGCACAGGGAGGCTATACAGATACACCAACCATGGTCCCTGCCCTGCAAAAGTTTTTCCTCCTCTTTCAGTGTTGTTATAGGAAGCAGTTCCCCTGCTCCCATGAATTAGCTTTGCAGCTTGTAGGATCGCCTCTGCTGCTTGCAAGGAACGTGAGGTCCATGCTCTGAGAGGGACCCAGCATTCATGATGATGCCCAACTGAATGGGCCCCTTTGACCTCCTTCCTCCAGACCTCATATCCATCTTGAGGAGCTGGTTGGGGGATGGCTCCTGAGACCTGCCTGTCTGAAGGCTGCAGGCCCTGGAGTCCCTTGCCCCAGGTGTGTGCACTGAATGTACAGCAGATCATGTGGCCGAGACCCGCCTCCAGGAGTAGAGAACAGAGAAGGAAAGCGCATCTCTAGGAGGAAGCAGCTCAGTGGATCTTTTCTGTGCAGAGGAAAGTCGGGGAGCGGCGGTGTGCAGAGCCGTAAACGCAGGACCCTGGGCCAGGACAGCAGTCAGACACCTGTGACTGCCTCACTGGGCTCCAGGACTGGCGTTTGTCACTGCTGCAGCGTTTGTCAGGCAGACCAAGCCTCTGTTCTCCTGAAGGAGTAGGTGTCTGGGGCGAGGCTTTGTTATTCCTTCCCCTGTCCCAGTTATCCCAGCAGATGCTAGAACCAAGGCTAGCCTGGACCTGGTTCTCAGCCTACCTCCCTTGGGGCACTTCTTGCCCCATTGCTGCTGGATTCTGTCCATCAGGCTCCCATGCTCCTCAGGGCAGCCCGTACATCCTGGGTTGATGGTTTTGTGTGTCTCTGTCTCTCTCTCTCCTTCCAGGGGCAGGTGTGGATTAACGGCTTTAACCTTGGCCGCTATTGGCCGGCACAGGGCCCCCAGATGACCTTGTTCGTGCCACGGCACATCCTAACAACCTCGGCCCCAAACAACATCACGGTGCTGGAACTAGAGCGAGCGCCCTGCAGCAGCTGTGGCCCGGGACTGTGCACCGTGGAGCTGGTGGACACGCCTGTTATCAACAGACCTGTGGCCAACAATTATTTCTTAGAACTGCCTACTAAAGACTCGTGGCAAGACTATGAATGATGATGGTGACCCTTTGGGATTCTGGTCCCCCGCACAGACCTCGGACCTTGTTATGCTGATATTCTCAGGAGAGTTGGTTTAGAAAATGAATTTAGGGGATGTGTTTTCACCTGAGGTCTCTTTGCAGCCACGCCGTGTCCATGCCCCACCCTCAGGGGCCACCTTGGATGTGTGAGGGAGGTGACAGCAGTGATACCCAGACAGATCTGCAGAGTCGGAGTGGAAACATTGGAAGTATTCCTGATTTTGACTTTAATTTTAATTAAGAATCATGTTGTCTTTTTGCTAAATAAATTTATAATGCAATATGATGAGCCTGGGTTTTTTTGTTTGTTTGGTTTCTGGTACTGGGAATTGAACCCAGGGGAACTTAACCATTGAGCCACATCCTCAGACTCTTTTTGTATTTTATTAGAGACAGGGTGTCACTGAGTTGCTTAGGGCCTTGCTAAGTTGCTGAGGCTGGCTTTGAACTCAGGGTCCTGTTTTTAATGTTGGGCAGGTATTAAGCTATGTGGTCTGACTTAAATCACAACTAGACTTGAGTGGGCTGAAGAAGCCACTTCACTAGCTTGAGGATCAAAGGAACAGAAGAGAGTCTTGGTTTGATTTAATGGACGGTTGCTTTTCTGATCCTTATTTGACTTGCTTGTGAATTTCTGTGATATCTACTAGGCAACCTGTAAGTACAGCTCTAAACAGTTATGCAAACAACCTAAGCAATCAATGGTTGCCTGGTGTACGCGGTATGGTCCTTCTGTACAGTAGACAGTATTTAGCTGTGAAAATGGTGATGTAGCCAGGCACGGTGGCTCACACCTGTAATCTAAGCAGCTCGGGAGATGGAGGCAGGAGGATCGTGAGTTCAAAGCCAGTCTCAGCAATTTAGTGAGGCACTAAGCAACTCAGACCCTATCTCTAAATAAAATACTAAATAGAGCTGGGGATGTGGCTCAGTAGTTGAGTGTCCCTGAGTTTAATCCCTGGTACTTAAATGTAGATCTGCATCACTTTTTTTATTTATATAAAAATATCTTTCATATTGTATCAAGTGATCTCATTCTGCTTACCACCGTCTTGTGTACGTGCCGTGGACAGGCCTATACATGTGGGGGACACTGTTTTATTGTATGCCTGTCTGGACATGGGCAGTAGCTCTCATGTTTTCTTCCGTGCATGCTTCTGAGCAGAGCATATGTTTAATTCACTTTCAGAAGATTGCTGAGGAATGTACCATCATCTTCCTGATTTCCCAGATCATATTGTTGTAAGTGGCAGAGACGGAGTTGGAATCTGTCTAGTCTAAGCACATGTTGCCTGTGTAATCCCCACCTATTCTGCATTGGAAAGGTTTGGCATCACATCAATGAAATGTTGATATGATTATCTCAGGACCATAGGCATTTGGGAGTGGTTCACTTTTTCTCATCTATATTTGCTTTTTTCTTGTTGTTGTTTTGTTTTTGTTTTTGATACCAGAGATTGAACTCGGGGGCACTTAACCACTGAGACACATCCCCAGCCCTTTTTTATATTTTATTTAGAGACAGGGTCTCGCTGAGTTGCTTAGGGCCTCTTCAAATTGCTGAGGCTGGCTTTAAATTCACAATCCTCCTGCCTCAGCCTCCCGAGCCACTGAGATTAAAGATGTGCGCCACTGCTCCTGGCTTGTTCGAAGTTCTTTACAGAGAACATGGTTTTTGTAAAGGAGGGAGAAGGGAAGGATGTTTTGTGCTGGTCTACAACATTTTCATTGGCAGTGTGTTTTCCCTCTCTCGTAGGCACAAATAAGAACTACCTGGGATTCAACAGAGGATTTTAAAACTCTGGGTAAGCCAGCTGCAGGAGGTATATATGGGTTGAGACCAACAGACTAGCCCCTAATTTTTAAACTCGGCCTCTTTCTCTAGAGGTCGGTACCATTTGATGTTTGGATGTGGTCCACAAGGTGAAGGAGGAGCTCCATGGATCCACAGCCTCATTACCCTTCCACTGTTAAATGACCGAGAACATAAAGCCATTCCCCAGGACTGGCCAAACACTGGTAAGTTTTGGAAAGAAATGTGAGGCTGATCCTTTGAAAGCATATGTATTTAATAAATTGCACTTCCTCAAAGACCAGCACAGAGTCCCTAGACGTCGGGCAGTGGAGAGGAGTGACCTCACTGGATGGTGCACTTGCCCCGTACTTGATCATCTGATCTTCAGGACCACACTGTGAGGTAGGTAGCAGCAAACCTGTTTACAGATGTGAACATTTAAAACTTCAGCACAGAACAGTTGGTTCTAAACCTCATCTATCTCCCTCCAAAAAAACAGAGTATTTTCACTTGTCGCTGAGAGACTCTTATGGGGTTCCATCCCTTCCCCCTTCTAGGGTTCCATCCCTTGCCTGGAAGTTTCTGGAATCTTCAAGCATACATAGTACCACCCTGGACCCTACTCAACCCTTCCTCCTCCTTCTGTCGCCTCTCATGGGCATTGCTTTTGCTATCTACAATGTCGTGTGTGTGTGTGTGTGTGTGTGTGTGTGTGTGTGTGTGTTGCTGGGGATTGAACCCAGGGCCTTATGCATGCCTGGCTAGCACTCTACCAACTGAGCTATATCCCCAGCCCCTTACTCATTCTTAAAAGTAAGATGTGCCTTCCGTCATTCCTAATTTCTCTGAATAACCTTGTTTTGGATCTATCTGTCCATGAATTGATGATTTAAAAGTTAATTCTATATATGAGTGTTATCTCTGAAAATAAGGGCAACTGTATTACCTGCTATTTAGACTTCTTAGATTGAATCTATCATAAAGCAGACTTGAGTATTCCAGGGTTTCTGAGCAGGCCTGTGCTAACCTAGGCAGACCATTGATGGTCTCTGAAGTTTACCACATTCTCCATCACCCTTCCAGTGAACCACTGTGATCTGGGTTTATATGCGGCCCACATTTATATGACCTGCAGAATATCCCGATTTAAACAGTTTGATTGATATAGAGTGTACATGCCATAAAACTCGTCTAGATTTAGGGACAATTTTCATGAGTTTTACCAAATTTATGCAGCTGTGCTGCCATCACCAAATTAGAAGACTTCCTTCACCCCAGAAAGTTCTCTCCTGCCTATAATCAATGTTCACTCCCACCTCTACTGCTAGGCAATGTTTAGCCTGTTTTCTGACCCTGAAGGGATGCCTTTCTTAGAAATTTCTTAGCCAGGTGTGGTAGCACTTACCTGTAATCCCAGTGGCTCAGGAGGCTGAGGCAGGAGGATCACAAGTACAAAGCCAGCCTCAGGAATTTAGTGAGACCCTGTCTCCAAATAAAATATACAAAGGATCTGGGGATATGGCTCAGTGGTTAAACACCCCTAAATTCAATCCCTGGTACCAAAAAAAAAAAAAAAGAAAGAAAAATTTCTTGTAACTGGGATCACAGGGTATCATCTTCTTTGTCAGGCTTCTTTCCTTTATCATAAATGTGTTTGAGGTTTATCCATGGTGTAGCATGTACATTGCCATATACATATACAAAAGAATATGCACCATGTTTTGTGTGCCTGCTTGTCAACTGATAAACATTTGAATGGTTTCCAGATTTGGTTTGGTTTTAGTACTAGGGATTGAACTCGGGGGCACTCGACCACTGAGCCACATCCCCAGCCCTATTTTGCATTTTACTTAGAGACAGGGCCTCACTGAGTTGCTTAGCACCTTGCTTTTGCTGAGGCTGCCTCAGCCTCCCTAGCCACTGGGATTACAGGCATGCACCACTGCACCCAGCTGGTTCCAGTTTTAAACTATTATGAATAATGCTGGTATAGATATTCTTGTTCAATTCTTTGTTCATATGTTTAACTTTTTAAGAACTCAAGCAAATTCAGGACATCTTTTTAAGGCCAGTTTAGTGATGAGGAAAAGACACAGTTACCCTTAAAATTACCAGAGTTATGGCTCCTTCTGTCTTCTCTCCCTTCCCTTCTCTACCTCAGGCTATACAGTGTGTTTTTTTTCTTCCTCTGTCAATCTGTCCATCTTTGTTTCTTAGTAAATCCAGTTTATTCAGAATGAAAATTGTTGAACACTAATCTCAGGTGGGGTTTTTTTCATTGTTTTCCCCAACAAGCAATATGTCTTATGTCAAATGACACAAATAGGAAATGATCTTGTGTGGTCTTTGTTTCTCCCCTTTATGAAAAAAAAAAAAGTCATTTTCTGAAATCACTTTTAGTCAATGTGAAGGATCTATCTGTCTGTGGTTGAATACATGGCTAGTAGGGACCAGTAGCTCATGCAAAATCGGGTCACTGTCCAGGTGGTGGGAGCAAGGTGACTGACTTTAAGCCTGGCCCCTGCTCCTGGTCTGCCTATGCAACACCGCCTCAGCCACCCCTGGTCTTAACGGCCTTTCAGTTGTCTGTAAAATGCCCAGTGAGGATTCTGAACCAATTCCACTCCAGACAGGTGCCCTACCTGCATCCCAAGGTCTTTTCACATGTGAGAGAGCCTCCCCCAAAGCTCCCAAACCAGCTGCATTGTCTCCTAGTGTGAAACAAGACAGGCTTTGGGAACAGAAACCCTGGTTCATGTTCCACTCACAACTGTCAGCCCAATCACAGGAAAATGATTCATTTATAAGTTTCAATTTCCTCTTTTTTTTTGGCGGGGAGGAGTACCGGAACTCAAGGGCACTCGACCACTGAGCCACATCCCCAGTGCTATTTTGTATTTTATTGAGAGACAGGGTCTCCGTGAGTTGCTTCATGCCTTGCTTTTGCTGAGGCTGGCTTTGAACTCTCGATCCTCCTGCCTCAGCCTCCCAAACTGCTGGGATTACAGGCGCATGCCACCTTGCCCAACTTCAGTTTCTGCTTAAGCAAATGCAGGCTGTGGAGTAGCCTAGTGCAAGAGGACTTGCGTAGGATGTGTGAGGCCCCCCAGGTTCGATCCCTAGCAAAACACACACAGACGTCATGATAAAGGCACCTTGCTTAGAACTTGCCATGTAGCTGGTGCTTATTAAATGCTCCTTTGATTCTTTCTGTCATATGTATCCACCAAAGCAGGGAAGCAGGATCTGGAGACCTGAGGGAGGAGGGTGGGGTGGAGAAATGACACCTCAGGACATCCCATCCTTTTCCCTGTATTTCTTTGTGTTCTCTTCAATAACTTGGTGCTTCTCCTGACCAGCCTCTGTGCTCAGCTGAGGAGACGGGGTGAAAGAGACAGTCTGATGTGAAACAGGACGTGGACCAGAAGGGGAGGAAGAAGTTCTCCCATAGAAAGGGGGGAAGGTGCATCTTCAAGACCTTGAGATTGCTGGTCAGGAGCATGAGCCTACAGAAAAGGCTGCAGGCCTTCAAAGCCCTCGGTGGGTTCTCTTTGAGTGCTTTGCTTCCTTAAAGCCTCTGTGCACATGTTCTCAGGTGTGAGTGACTTTCTGGTACCGCCATATTGAATTCCTTACCTGAGGGCATCTGCCATGGTGGTGTGCTCTTTGGGTGGTTGTCTGCCACTAGGTAACAAACTGTGAGTTAGAAGTGGCAGAAACAGCTGTTTGTCATGCCCAGGATTCTGTGGATGAGGCCTATGGATGGCCCTACAGGGATAACTTGTGTTTTGTTCTGGGAAGTCGGGGGGCCCTTTCTGGGTCCTGGACTCATTTGGAAATCCCTTCTTGCTCTCACCTGTTGTCTGGGCTGGCATGATTTGAAGTTTGAGCTCAACTGGGACAGGCAACAGAACATGGCAGATGGTCTCTCCATGGGACTGGGACTTGGAACACGGTAGCCAGGTTCTGAGGGCGTGTTCCAGAAGGGAGCTTCCAGAGAATGAGCATTTCCAAGAGGAGTGAGAGGAAGCTGCATGGTCCTTAAAGGACCAGACTCAGAAGTCACCCCATGTCAGTTCTACCGTATTCTGTCAGAGCAGCCCCAGCATGCCCAGCCTCAGTGGGAGGGAACACAGAGAGAGGAGGGACAAAGAAATTGTGGCCACTTTTAAGGAAACATCACATGTATACATGGAGCTCTGTTGGGCTACAGTCAGTCTTGTGGGTTTCTGAGGTCTTCATTAAAAAGTCTGAAGACCCAGTGAGCGTGCATTGAGTGCTGTTCCTCCTTGGTCTAGGACCCCTTGGCCCAAGCACAATTCTTGGTCCATGGTAGGTTCCTTCAGCCTATGTTTAATGAAGTGGATTCCTTTGAATCATTTGCAGGTTGCCGGTCCCCCTGGTGGTCTTGCTAGATATGAGTTCACAGGGAATTGTCACTATGAGCATGGGCTGGAAATGCACTGTGCAGGCAACACCCAGCCCCAGAATAAGAGGGTATAGAGGTGACGGATGCTTGGTCTGGTTTCTTATGTGTTGATGACATCTTTTTACTTAGGTTTCTTCTTCCCCCGCCCCCTTTGGTATTGGAGATTGGACGCAGAGTACTTCACTGCTAAGCCACATACCCAGTCTTTTTTTTTTGGTGTGTGTATGGCGGGGGTGGGGGGGTGCTGGGATTGAACCCAGGGCCTGTGCATGGGAGGCAAACACTCTTCCAACTGAGCTGTATCCCCAGCCCCTTTACTTATATTTCTGAGCAAGTGGTACAGTTTGTCCAATTTATTGCAGCTTCGATTTTTTTTTTTTTTTTTAGGGACAGGGTCTCACTGAGTTGCTTAGCACCTCGCGGCTGCTGAGGCTGGCTTTGAACTTGCGATCCTCCTGCCTCAGCCTCCCCCGAGCTGCTGGGATTCCAGGCGTGCACCACCCGCGCCTGGATGCATGCAGCTTTGACTTAATTTTTACAAAGCAACATAATCCTTTTCTCCAGGTACCTTGGTTCTTGTGGCTTTAAAATCATGAAGTGTCCCAAGGAGTGGCCCTGTAGAATTCCCAAGGTTTTAGGTCTCATCACTGTCCTGGAATCCAGCTTCCCTCCTGCTTTAATTTGCTCTTTGACATTCAGCAAATTCCTCAGGAACTTAGCGGAAAAGTGCTATGTGCAGCCCGTTTCTCTGGAAGAAGTGGGCAGAGAAAAGTTACAAGGAATTGTAGTTGAACAGTCAAACGGTGACTCTCGGTTCCTCGAGGGGAGCTGCCTGGGGCGACGTGAGAGTGGGCAGAAAAATACTCCAGATTAACATCAGCCTGGGGCTTCCAGAAGTGAAGAACAGCGTGACTTAGCTCGGCGGCCGCTGGGTTCACGGGTTCATTGCCTGTTGTGATCAGTAGATATCAACACACTTGCAAAAACAAAAATACGGTAAAGTACTCAAAAAACCACGTTGAAAAGTTCATTTGTAGTGTGTCAGAGGTCTCTGGGACACTTCCAGGCTCCTTGGTGATCTTTTTTTTTTTTTTTTATAAAAAAAAAATACTTATTTTTTAGTTGTAGTTGAACACAATATATTTTATTTATTTATGCTTATGTGGTGCTGAGGATCGAACCCAGGGCCTCTCACGTGCGAGGCGAGCATTCTACCGCTGAGCCACAACCCCAGCCCCTCCCCAGTGATCCTGATGAGTTTCTTCATGGTTTTTGTTCTCTAATATTGTGATGATGGCCCAGAACCTAAACGCCAGACTCTTCCACCCTATGGCATTTTTGTGGTACTGTCGATGAGACAGAAGAACTAGAAGGGAGTCATTTTTCCCCACTTTAAGCATCAAAATCTTGTCTTTTAATAGTCAGGGAGGAATCACCCATTTCAGATATTCAAATTCAGCAATGCTTTTGAAAATAGCCAATATTTCACTCCAGTATGAAAACTCGGTGCCTGTGTTACCTCTATAGTAACATACGTAGAATGTAAACACCCTTCAGCAGGCGTGAACTGAATATTCTAATCCCTCTTCACAGAGCAGAACTCTTCAACATCAGACAAACAAAAAAAGAGCTCTTCAGCACCATCTTGGTCCCAACTGTTAGATTTCTGTTACTAAAACAAAATGCCTGACATAAACATCTTTTTTAATAAACATATTTTTTAATTTGTTCTTTTTTTTTAGATGTACATGACAGTAGGGTGTATTTTGACATATATACACAGAGTATAACTTCCCTTTCTTGTGGTTGTACATGTACATGTACTGGTCGTGTGTTCATATATGAACATAGGAAAGTAAAGTTCAACTCATTCTACTGTCTTTCCTATTCTGATCCCCCTCCCTTTCCTTCATTCCCCTTTGTCTAATCCAAGGAACTTCTATTACCTCTGCCCTTAATGTGTATATGTATACACATATCAGAGAGAACATTTCTACCTTTGGTTTTTTGGGATTGGCTTATTTAACTTGTGTGATAGTCTCCAGTTCCATCCATTTTTACCAGTAAATGCCAAGAGTTTCATTCTTCTTTATGGCTGAGTAATATTGCACTGTGTATATATACCACATTTTATTATCCATTCATCTGTTGAAGGGCACCTAAATTGGTTCCATAGCTTAGCTATTGTGAATTGAGCTGCTATAAAAATTGATGTGGCCACATCACTAGAGTATGCTGATTTTAAATCCTTTGGGTATATACTGAGGAGTTGGACGATTAAGTGAAATGTTGATTCCATTCCAAGTTCAGAGGAATCTCCATACTGCCTTCCAAAGTGGTTGCAGTCCCACCAGCAATGTATGAGCATACCTTTTTCCCCACATCCTCACCAACTTTTATTGTTACCTATATTCTTGATCATGGTCATTCAGACTGGAGTGAGATGAAATGTCAGCATAGTTTGTTTTGTTTTTTGGGTACTGGGGATTGAACTCGGGGACATTCAACCACTGAGCCACATCCCCAGCCCTTTTGTATTTTATTTAGAGAAAGGGTCTCACTGAGTTGCTTAGCACCTTGCTTTTTCCTGAAGCTGGCTTTGAGCGCACAATCCTCCTGCCTTAGCCTCCTGAGCCGCTGGGATTACAGGCGTGCACTACTGATCCCAGCTGTCAGTGTAGTTTTAATTTGCATTTTTCTAATTGCTAGAGATGTTAAATGCTTTTTAATATATTGTTGACCAATCATATTTCTTCTTTGAAGTGCCGTTCAGTTCCTTTGCCCTTTTATTGATTGGGTTATTTGTTTTATTGTGTGAAGTATTTTGACTTCTTTATATACCTCTATTTATTTATTTATTTATTTATTTATTTTTAATGTGGTGCTGAGGATCAAACCCAGTACCACTGAGTCACAACCCCAGCCCCTAAGATAAACATCTTAATAAGAGAAAAGATTTGTTATGGCTCAAGTTTTGGAGGTTTCTGGCCACAGTCAGTTGGCCCTGTTGCTTTTAGGCATTTTGTCATAGCCAGAAAATGTGGCAGAGGACATAAATTAACTCATGACAACCAAGAAGCAGACAGAGTGAAAACGTCTAGCAAACCACGGTCCCCTTCAAAGGCATGTCCCCAGTGACCTAAGACCTCCCACAGTGCCCCACTTCTTAAAGGTTACAACATTTACAATAGCACCAAACTGAGAACCAAACTTTTGATACATGAGCCTTTGAGGGACATTTCTGATCTAAACTATTGCATCCTCTTTTCCTTATTGACAAAATTTTGCTATTTTCTGCACCTATGATTTTACATACTAGAATCACCTGGCCTTCGTTTCAATGATCCTATCACTTAAATCCTTGGTATTTGCTCCCTGAAAAGTGTCCAAGATCTATTCTTTTCTTCTTATTATTATTTCATTTTTTTTGGTACTAGGGATTGAACCCAGGGGCTTTAACCACTGAGCACATCCCCAGCCCTATTTTGTATTTTATTTAGAGACAGGGTCTCACTGAGTTGCTTAGTGCCTTGAAGTTGCTGAGGCTGGCTTTGAACTCATGATCTTCCTGTCTCGGACTCCCGAGCCTCTGGGATTACAGGTGTGCCCCACTGTGCCTGGTCCACATCTATTCTCTCTTTAAAATATTTTTCTAGTTGTCAGTGGATCTTTATTTATTTATTTATATGCGGTACTGAGAATTGAACCCGATGCCTCAAACATGCTAGGCAAGCAGTCTACCACTGAGCCACAACCCCAGCCCACATCTATTCTTAATGGAAATGTTATTAACTTCTAATATACACTTTGAAAATGTTTATGACTCATATCTCTTTGTTAAATCAAAGACAACCTTCATTCATTTAACTATTAATGAGTACTTAATACATGTCAGTCATTGGAGATAAAATGATAAGCACTATATCACCCTTTCATTCTCCCCACCCCCCCTTTTTAAAGAGTATTGAACTACTATCAATAGCAGTAATACTAACATCATGACCCATGCCTCCAAAAAGGAGGTAAGAGAGGTTAACAGAGTTTCAATGCAGTCTCATGGGCACCACAGGAAGGGATACTACAGAGTGGTAGAGGAGCACAGAGAGTCTCCCAATCCAACCTACGCAACTAGAGCACCTTGATACTGAGCAAGACAGGAATAGCTAATGACTTAGCCCTGCTAAGTTGTGAGCACAGGCTAGCCTTATTGTGGATTTATGGTCTAAATTTGCATCACTTGGCTAGTCTAGTATACTTTAAAGCAGTTAATAAAAGTGTTATACAGAACTAGTAGTGCCCCTACACATCACAAAAACAAAATCATCTTTGGAATAAGGGCATTTTCATTCTAAATCTTAGAAAAACACACATACACACCCCGACACCACAACCAAATAATTTTCAATGTCAAAGAGTGTTATAGATATCATTGAATATACAAGGAAACAACACAAGTACAAATCAGAAACAGACCCATGTTCGCTCTGTATATTGAAATTATGCTACATATTTAAAAACAAATACC